CGTACCCCCAGCTGGAGTCCTCCCCCCCTCCCCACTCCCAACCCCCTGCCCCAGCCCAGAGCCCCCTCCTGCACCCCAAACTCCTCATCCCCAGTCGCACCCCAGAGCCCGTACCCCCAGCTGGAGTCCTCCCCCCTCCCCACTCCCAACCCCCTGAGCCAGCCCAGTGAAAATGAGTGAGTGAGGGTGGGGAGAGCGAGGGGGGATGGAGTGAGAGGGGGAGGGGTTTCGGAGAAGGGGTAGGGCAGGGCCTCGGAGAAGACATGGGACAGGAGCGGGACAAGGGTGTTCAGTTTTGTGTGAGTAGAAAGTTGGCAACCCTAATGCCAGCTGCCTCAGGCTCACGGGGCTGTTTAGCTGCGGTGTAGATGTTCGGCTTGGGTGGAAGCCGGGGCGCTAGGACCCTGTGAGGCTGGAGGGTCCCAAAGCTCAGGCTGCAACCTGAGCCTGAAACTCTATCTCAGCAATTAGACAGCCCCTGAGCCCCAGGGAGCAGCCATGGGTGTCTAATTGCAGTGTGAACACACCCTAAATGCCACCCGCACACCAACCCAACAGCTTGAAGTAAATCCAAGTATTAGAGCCCCCAGAGACGAACCTACAGTGTGCCACAGGCAGACAATAGGAGGGACTGAGAGGCCCCCCCCGCCAAGGCAGCTGCAATGGCAGGGAGTTGGTAATTCAATTATTTTGGTTATATATTGAACATTTCATCCACCACTCTTATTAATGGGTGACAATACCTGTAGCAGGGAGAACTTGTTGCATGTTCTGTGGAGGTTTCTTGGCTAGCAATTCTACATTATTTATATTATTGTAATATATAGGAGCCACAGTGATAGGTGCCTTACAAATGCACAAATACTTAGTTAATTTTCATGGGAAGAAATATACAATGATGGAAACCGAACTGCTTTGCAGGAGATTTGCTTCTAGAGCAAGACTACTGGCCAGTCAGGCTTATGCTCTGTGTTTTCCCCGTCACTTGTCATCACTGTAGCAGATGATTTAAAGCACATACAAGCCCCTAGGAGTTTCCTGATTCTGTAACAAGCCCCCAATCTTGCAGAGCAAGAGGAAAGGATCTCTATAGAAAGCTCAATAAAGGAGAAAAGTGCTGTACTCACCCGTGCCTGGATGCAATCTGCTCCTATCTGTAAACGAGCAGCGGTTACCACGGTATTATACCCGAGAGACTGATCTGTCTCTGGTGCTGCTCCACAACAGGACACCTCATCTGCTCAGCTCAGATCTTTTTGTTTTTGTTTCATCAACTTCAGCTCCTGTTTTCTGCAGAGGATCCTTTATTGTATTGAAGGGCCTACAGAAACCTAGCAGTATTCACTGCCTCCAACTCCAGATTGATTCACTCAGAGTGAATGTCTGTCCTCCTCACAGTGCCCAATTGGAGGTGAAATGTACTTAATCAGTGTGCCTCACTTGTCCCTGACTTGGGCCCACTCTTCCAAGAGATGGGTCAGAAGTGAAAGAGGCTGGCCGGCCGTGGAGGGATAGACCAGTGTCTATCAGTGGGAGTGGAGAGTAGGAGTGAACTGAGAACCTTGGGAAGGCCAGGGGAGCTTTGGAAAGGACTCGGAGCCATTCCAATCATCAACACGTGGGCTGGGCTTTTCCAAAGTTCTCAGCATTGGCCAAATTCTGTTCCCAGTAAGAGCAATGGGCAGCTAACAGAGTTAGGCCAACACTGAGCACCCTTTAAATTCCCACCCCTTAAGACAAACCCCCAGCCTCAACTTAGACCTGCAAGCCGTGAAAAGGCTGTGAAATGGACGTGGGGCTCTTCCCTGCTGGAAGGCTTATATGTGGTCATTTGGGAAGGAGGGATAGCTCAGTGGTTTGAGCATTGGCCTCCTAAACCCAGGATTGTGAGTTCACTTCTTGAGGGAACCATTTAGGGATCTGGGGCAAAAATCTGTCTGGGGATTGGCCCTGCTTTGAGCAGGGGATAGGACTAGATGACCTCCTGAGGTCCCTTCCAACCCTGATATTCTATAACACCCTAAGGCCTAGTCTACAGTACAAGTTTAGGTCAAATTTATCAGCGTTAAATTGAATTAAGCCTGGACACGTCCACATGACGAAGCCCTTTTTTTCGACTTAAAGGGCCCTTTAAACCGGTTTCTTTACTCCACCTCCGACGAGGGGATTAGCGCTGAAATCGGCCTTTGTGGGTCGGATTTGGGGTAGAGTGGACGGAATTCGACGTTATTGGCCTCCGGGAGCTATCCCACAGTGCTTCGTTGTGACCACTCTGGACAGCACTCTCAACTCAGATGCACTGACCAGGTAGACAGGAAAAGCCCCGCGAACTTTTGAATTTCATTTCCTGTTTGCCCAGCGTGGAGAGCACAGGTGACCACGCAGAGCTCATCAGCACAGGTAACCATGATGGAGTCCCAGGATCGCAAAAGAGCTCCATCATGGACCGAACGGGAGGTACGGGATCTGCTCGCCATATGGGGAGACGAATCAGTGCTAGCTGAACTCCGTAGTAGTAAACAAAATGGCAAAATATTAGAAAAAGTCTCAAAGGCCATGAAGGACAGAGGCCATAACAGGGACGCACAGCAGTGCTGCGTGAAAATTAAGGAGCTAAGGCAAGCCTACCACAAAGCCAGAGAGGCAAACGGAAGGTCCGGGGCAGAGCCGCAAACATGCCGCTTCTACGCGGATCTGCATGCCATGCTAGGGCGTGCAGCCACCACTACCCCAACCGTGTGCTTTGACTCCATCAATGGAGAATCACGCAACAGGGAAGCAGGTTCGGGGTACGAGGAAGATGATGATGAAGACAATGAAGATAGCTCACAGCAAGGAAGCGGAGAAACCGGTTTCCCCGACAGCCAGGATATGTTTATCACCCTGGACCTGGAACCAGTAACCCCCGAACTCACCCAAGGCGTGCTCCCAGACCCTGAGGGCACACAAGGGATCTCTGGTGAGTGTACCTTTGAAAATATTACACATGGTTTAAAAGCAAGCGTGTTTAATGATTAATGATTAATTTGCCCTGCAATCGCGGCCAGTACAGCTACTGGAAAAGTCTGTTAACGTGTATGGGGATGGAGCGGAAATCCTCCAGGGATATCTCCAGAAAGCTCTCCTTCATGTACTCCCAAAGCCTTTGCAAAAGGTTTCTGGGGAGGGCTGCCTTATCCCGCCCGCCATGGTAGGACACTTTACCACTCCAGGCCAGTAGCACATAGTCTGGAATCATTGCATAACAAAGCATGGCAGCGTATGGTCCCGGTGTTTGCTGGCATGCAGACAACATCCATTCCTTATCTCTCTTTGTTATCCTCAGGAGAGTGATATCATTCACGGTCACCTGGTTGAAATGGGGTGATTTTATTAAGGGGACATTCAGAGGTGCCTGTTCCTTCTCGGCTGAACAGAAATGTTCCCCGCTGTTAGCTAGGCGTTGGGGGGGAGCGGTGAAGTGATCATCCCAGAGAATTGGGTGTGTTTGTGTGTGGGGGGGTTAGTTGGGTTTGTGCTGCATGTTAACCAGGAAACCGCAGCCCCTCCTTTTACATTGCAAACCCATTTTAAATGGCCAACCCAACGGGTGCTTGGTATGGGAAATGAGGGTG